TTTTTATCTCAAAAACGGTTACTGTTAGGTATAGAGTGTTTAATATCAAAATTCATAAAATTTTACAGAAAACTTAATTATGTAATAAAAAATGGGGCGAGCCTCACATTATTATGAAAAACGAATTCAAATATCGTCAAAAAATTAATATTAAAAAAGGTATTTAATTTTTGGTTTGTTTTGAATTTATTATGTTTATCTTCAATCTCTCTCTCTTTCTCTCTCTCTCTTTCAAACAAGCAAAATGAGAATAGCCAAAAATTTCTATGATGGTGGATCTCTCTGTTTGTTTTAAATGCAATAATCCTAAAATATTAGTATACAAGATTGTTCTTTATTTATTCAAAGAGGTACAGAGAAAGATTTGTCAAGAAGAAACGCGAAATCAATTCGATTCATCTTCGTTCGTGCATAAACCTCGCAAACATCACAAAACCCCTACTCATTACCTTTTGCCTTTGCCACTTTCTTTCTTCTTCAATTTCCGTTTCTCTGTCTGTCTGAATCGAGCACAAATAAACCTCCACGAGCCTTGCTCCTTGCTAATAAAGCGAGGTTACGACACGTAAGACCTTAGTTGTCGCTATGGTAAATTTATACTTTGTCACCGGAGTGGATAGTTTAGTAGTAAAATAGAGAAAAAGGGGATATTTTTACGCGCACGTGCTGTTTTCGTATGCGAAACAGAAATGTTTCAGTAAATATATGAAGCGTCTTATAACTTGCTGCTTTGAACTCTAAAAATCGAATGAAAAGAGATGATTCGGTTCACGTTGCAAAGGTTCTATTTATTGTAAAAGATTTGAACACCTGTGTCGCGTTATTGTGCGTCTCTTTATGTAATACTGGGTGTTGCAAAAATTTAATATTTTCGTATAAATAAGTTGTTTTCGTTTTTTTTTAACTTTTGAAATATATTAAAGTTTCTTACAAGTAACGGAAAAAGGCGTATTAATACTGTTTTTATATTCGTGCATTAGATATGAAATGGACATCATAAGATGACCATTTTTGGATAGTTTTCTTTGGTGTTTAACTTTTTACTTGGCACATTTGAATTTTATTATAAATTTTGCTGATTTGTTGAGCTTTCCTGAATTTATTTTATGTTATTTTTGGTTTATTTCATAATTAGTTATATGCAAAGTATATATGCAAAATTGGAAAGACGTTGTGCCAAAACTTGAATTAGTGTGAGATTATTGTAAAACTTCAAAGAACTTTAAAGATACTTCAAAGAACTTTAAAGATACTTCAAAGAACTTCAAAGATACTTCAAAGAACTTATACAGAACTTATATATATGTGATCGTTGTCAGACAAAAAAAAATTGAACAACCTTTTACTAGTAAGTAACTACATATAACAAACTAAGTACGTTTTTAATCTTGTATATTTATGTTTCTTTTCTACTTGTCAAAAATAATTAGAATCCTTCAATTTAATTTAGTTGATTTAGTAGCGTATCTACAGGGTGGTCCGAACTGTAATCTGGAAACTTCGGCAGCATATTATTCTGCAGATAAAAATAAGTAAAAAAGTTCGTCTAAATGTATGTCCTAAAATACTTAGTTTCGGAGATACAGGGTGTAGAAGTTTCATTTTTATTTCGATTTTTTCCAAATAATTTCTGAAATAACGTCAATATTTGGTTGAAAATTGGTGTCTGGGAGTTTTTCAACATTAGGAATTTGGGTTTAGATGTCAATATGACTCCTATTTGTAGGGTACGCCACCTGTATGTGTTTTAACTGTTATGAAGGTTAATAACTTTTCGTCCGTACCTGTATAAACTAGTGAGTAGAAAAATATACATTTCCGTGATTTTCTGCGTAAAAAATGTTTCTTGGTAAAAATCGCTACCACTAACCGTCTTCAAGATATTTAGAATCTTCTAAAAAATTATTGAAAAAAAAACATGTTGAGTAGATAGTTATTTGACTGAAATTTTTTATAAAGTTGAGAACTTTTTGGGATAAATTTGGATTTTTTTTTTAATTAATCATAAATTCTTCTTCGAAAAAATGATGATAAAACTGTTTCTGTTGAACTTTTGACACAAAATCATTTCAAATTTATGATTTCAGTCTAATAACTATTTAGTCAACATGTTTAATTTATGTAAATTACGACAGGTATTGATAATTTTGATTCCAAATATCTCGAAAACCATTACTCGTAGCGATTTTTACCATGAGATCTTTTTTACGTAAAAATCGTGGTAAATGTATATTTTTTGTTTAGTAGTTTTATACAGTAGCGGACGAAAAGTTATTACTCTTCAAACCAGTTAAAAAATATGTAGGTAGCGCCCTCTACAAGTATGAGTCATATTGACATCAAAATCAAATTTCTCATATCAAAAAACTCCCAGACACAAATTTTCATACAAATATTGATGTTACTTCAGAAATTATTTGGAAAAAATCGAAATAAAAATGAGATCTCTACACCCTGTATCTCCAAATCTAAGCATTTTAAGATATACACTTATACGAACTTTTTTACTTATTTTTATCTGCAGAATATGCTTCCGAAGTTTCCCGAATACAGTTTGGACCGCCCTGTATATTATCTTACATTTATTGCAAATATATTTGTTAATACAATTTTAAAAACTCTCAAAGTAAAAAAGTTAATTATTGAGTATACTAACATTTATTGCACTGGCAGCTAACAACTTAAAAGGTAAACTAAAACTAAAAAAAACAACAACTAAAAACTTAACAATCTAAGCTTAGAAAACTGCTTTTTTAATAATTTACTATTAATCCTTGGAATATAAAGGAAAAATTTAGATATTTTTTATGATATGCCTATATAGTAACTTTATAGTAACTTCCATTCGAGACGATGGGTTATTTCCATAACCGATATATTTCTATGCCACTTTTTAATATTACACAAAGGAAGTAGAAACTTTGTCATTAAATAGCAAAATAAAATTTGCATTGTGTCTGAAACTTTGATGGACTACAAGATTGAGTGACATGGAGTGACATGTAGTAACTTCGGTTTGCCTCATCGATGTCCATCGGCACATAATATTAAAGGATGTGACCACCTGTGTCCTATTTCCGTTTTGCACATATAGAGTGATTTAGTAAAAAAAAATAAAATTAAGTAATGTTAACTGTATTTTTTTAACAATATTATGCATAACACTAAGTGTTTTAAATAAAAAACTCATAATTTTACTGAAATCAGTCAGAATCCAATCTATAGATTTTAGTACAACACTAAATTTTCTAACAAACTAAAAGCACTTTAAGTAACCTATAGTTATTCACTCAGTTTCAATATTAATAATTGCTTTAGAGATAAACCTGAAAAAGCGTTTTTGTTTGTGTTCAGTGTGATACATTTGTTTTCAAGATTATTTGGTTTATTAAAAAATTTGCTTTTATTGTTAATTAACTAAATAATATGTTATTTTTCTTTGGTTTTTAAATACTTTATTTTAGCAGCCATATTCCTAGAAGATAGCAATTAGGGACAGAATCAAAAAAGCACAGTCTGTTCTAATAGCTTGAATGTGGACATAATTTTAAGACTTTGAGTAAAATTTTATTCTTTTAGAGCATAATTGACGTTTTAAATAACACTTCTTAAGTGCTCTGGTAAAATTAGATTTTAATTGTTGGAAGGGTGAGATACTAAAAAAGTCAAGAAATAACATTCTCAAAAAATAATATTTTAATATTTTTTTTACTTTAACCAAAATGAGTAATCATAGTTCTGCATTTCGTATTGGTTGACTAATAAGAAAACATTGTAACGTACTTAATAAGAAATAAAACAATTCATATGAAAATAACTGATATGCTAGTACAGGAACGCGACTTTGTTAATTTCAAAAAATTCAAATGAGGTAAATTATCAGTTCAATATACCATAAAGAAAATTAATATTGAAATTGAATTTTATCGCTTTTTTTTCTAATATGGGCCTTGAGATGATAAATATCAATAAAAAATAGAAAATTAAAATGCAAAGACAGTTAATGACATTTAAAACAAACTAGTTAAGGTACATATTTTATACAGTTACGTTTAATTAAAAGTTTGGTAAATCCGCAAGAATCACGGTTTATATCAAAGTTGATTGAAAGGCATTTTAAAATAATTGTATAGATGTAAGAAAGATGCTTAAATATTCCCGACATTTAAAACAAACTAATTTAGGTATATTTTTAATATAGTTATCTTCAAAAATTCGCAAAAAACAGAGAATCAGTGTTTATATCAAAGTTGTTGAAACAGAATTTTAAAATAATGGTATAAATAGGCGAGAAAGATGCTTAAAATATTCCATTTGAATCAAATTTTCATTTTTATTTACATACCATTTTCCATATTCTAATGTGCTGATTTTAATTTATTTATACAGCGTGTTCTCAATTTGAGGGTGACATTTGGGATTACAGGAGGAGCGTCATAACCATGATAGGTACAGCCTCGCCACAAAAAGTGTAATTTTTACTCCTAGTAAAACACTATACTATTTTTGTATTTAAATAAATAAAGTTAATGATGGTATCTCAGAATCTATATGTCTGATTTGACAATAATTCAAAGCATCATATTATAAAAAGTAATAAGTGAAAATTAAGTATCACTTATTTTAAAGAAAGCCTCTAATATATTCAAAAAAGAAATAAAGACAATTTTACAATATTTCAATTTATTCCAAATATCCTCGGAAGTATTAGGAATATTTTTAATTTTCAATTCATCCTTTTATTAGAAATGATATCGCAAGACTTTGCAATTAAAACAACTTTTTATATCTCATATAGTTTTTAACATACCAAAGGTTATACTCGATTTTGGACATCCTGTACATACGAGCAGTTTTATTCTCTAACAAATATTGTATTAGTACATTATTTCCAAATACTTTTCACACAATTTTAGATTATGACAAAATTAAAATATTTGACTGATTCAAAATAAGCCTAACTTCTCTTTATACGATACACCTTTTCTCTCTGTACTCACCTCCGCCCTGTTGCCTGATGAACGTGAGTATATTCGTCCTGTTCCTGGACGCGGCCTGGTGAGCTGTGGTCCTCCCTCTGGGATCTCTGAGCGACAGCCGACTGGGATCCTGGAGGTAGAGTTTCTGAAACATGTCCAGATTGCCGCTCTCAGCCGCCTGGAAAAACAAACGTAAAATTATGAAATTTTGGTGGTTTGACAAAGTCATTGTTTTATCACTGCTTCTAAAATATTTGTTATTTTGTAGGTAAAATAATATGATTTTAAAAAAGAAATAATATTTAACTTCATCACAGAAGTCAAAAGCGTTTCAGAAGAAGTTCAGTCAGAAGCGAAGAATAAAATAGAAAAAAGAAAATTGATTTAAAATTTATAAATAGATGAGTAGTTTTATTTATAAAATTTAAATAAATTTTGAGATTTTTTAGATGATTTGGGAAAAACCCAGACATTTTTCAAGAAAAAAGGTATGATATAATATTATAAAAATAATCAAAAACTCGAATGGAGTTCGAACAAAATCACCAATTAAAATTGCTATTAAATAACAGTTATTGCAGACAAATACTAGTTTGTCTTTTTTATCCATTTATCCAGTTCTCAAAGTTGATTAATCAATAAAAGATTAATAAAGTCGTAATAAATTAGACTAACAAAAAAAAAATAACATGGAATGAATCAATATCTAGATTAAACCCGCTAAAGTTATGATTTTAATAGCTATTTTATAATGATATAGCTATTTTTTATGATATAGCTGGTATATACAGGGTGACTTTTAAATAAGTGCAAATATTTTTAGAGGTAGTTTATTTCGACAGAAAAAAATTAAAAATTTGAAATTTGTTGGAAAAATGTTTGGATTTTTTTTAGTTTTTAGTTGAAAAACATAACTTCTTGATAATACGGCAATATAGGTAGTAGATTAAATTTACAAGAAAGAAGATCCAGAAAAGATCTAGTGGTTCTCAAAATTTTAGCAAAATTTTTTTTCAAAGTAAAATAACTAATTGGAAATAATATATTAATAATAATTGAATACATATATAAAGAATTTTTTCGTCGGAATACGTCTCGCAAAACCAAATAATGGCATGGGAGCAAAATGGATGCAGGAAAGGGGCAAGAGGATGCAAGGAGAACCTACTGATAGACACAATCATTACAAGACACGCTAAAATAAAAACTGCAAGGCATTCGATTCCATGCCCCATTCTTGGCTACTTCGTGTGCTAGAAATATATAAAATCGACAAACAAATTACAGATCTTTTAAAACATCTCATAAAGACTTGGAGTACAGTTTTACA